ATTTGTGGCCCTAAACAAGTCAAAAAGGGGCCCAGAGTATTTATGTAGTTATAAAAGCTTCTCATTAAGGGTACAATTGTAAGTTTAAGCTAAATTATTACCAAATTTAGAAAGAGGTCATTCTTTTTGGAATTGACCCAAAAAAAAAATAGGTTCACATAAACTGGAACAAAGAGAGTATTAGGTATCGGGTACCTAATCCATTGTAGTACTTTGTTTAATAGTTTGTAGTTAATTACAAATCTATTTAAAAAATAATATAAAAGTTCACAAAATTGAACAAACTTTGAAACCCCCGGAAATGAAAGGAAAGATTGGCATTCTAACAAAAAGAACTATTATAGTAGAGCATCTTTTCCAGATATCCAATTCGAAGAAGATATCTATCTAAGTAGCTCTAGTCATAGTGGAACTGGAATCACAAATAGAATATAGATGGATTGGTAGAAAGCCAAATCTATAAAAAAAACTCTATGAAATAGGAATTGCTATTACCACTTATAAAATAAAAAACATATCAGATAAATATGTTGCAACATTAATAGTTTCAGGATTTAATGGTGTATTAAAAAATTGGTGGGATAATTATCTCTTCGAAGAAAATAAAGGACAAATCTTGGGAGCCACTACAGTAGCAACTGTAGCAAAAACCGAAGGAAGTATGCAAGTTGCAGAATAAGAAGCTAGAGAAGATGTTACTGCAACTTTAAACTATTGTATTGCTAAACACTTTTGGCCAAAATTGACACCAAGTCCAACAGACGTACAAGCTATGCTAGAAGTTGCATCAGCATCCTCTTCAACAGAAATCTAGAATAATGGAGATATGGAAGGCCCGTAAGGTATAGCTCAAGCCTACGCCTATACAGATGATGACTAAACAGTATCTTGCCCTTTCAAAAAAGCAAGAGAGAGGATAGATGACTCTTCAAAAAAGCAGAAGCCATCTGATAAGGATAAACAAAACAAAACAAAAGACTTTATAAAAGGACCGACAAACCTTTATAGCCCGCCTCGTCACCGGGACCATCGGGATCTTCTCCGCCCCTGGATCTGCCGGAACCCCTCGGAGTCTTCTTCATCCTCGGGATATGTAAACTTCTTGGCCTCGGCCTCGAGCCTATTAGCATTTTTGATCTCGGCCGATAAATCGAAACCCCGGGCATGAACTTCCTCGAGGGCCTCCCTTCGGGATTGTCACTTCACGTATTCAATGATGCCTTTCAGGCGGTCCTAGGTTACCTCAGCATCAGCTTTGTACTGGGCCATCATCTTCTCGACATCGGCCCATGTTATTTCAGCCACTAACTTGGTTGCTTTAAGCTCCTTGGCGAGGGTATCCTGATCGGTAACAGCCGAGCCCAGTTGAAACCGGAGGTCCTCGAATTTTTGGGACCAAGCCTCAACTTTCTCTCTCACCGCTCGAAGTTGAGCCTCCATCGAGGCCAGTTGCTCCCGGGCAGTCTCCTTTACCGAGGCAAAATGATCCATCTTGCCTTTACACTCTTCAGCCTCGACCTTGATTACGTCAATCTCGGCTCGGAGTTGGTCGATCTGGTCAAGCTTCTTTTGGACCTGCGGGTTCTGACCATTAGTCACCGTGTCTATCTCGTCATCACTAACTTCAAATATTTTTACCTGTACCACCAGGTCGGCATGTTCTTTCTGAGCTGTGTCCAACTCAGTTCGGAGGTTTTTGACTTCTCCTTCACGTTACTCGCTGAGAAGATTGTACGTCTCTCTTCTCAACAAGCTCTTTGACTTCAGCCTCGAGTTGGCTCAGCTCATCCTGATACCGGAGGAAGGTCTCGTGGTGAAGTATTGAGCCCTGCAAAATGAGGAAAGGAAAAAGCATTAGAATCCTCAGAAACTGAGTTTAAAGATAAAAGGGGATAACAACACCTTACCCGGTTTAGCGCCTGTTGCGCTTCATTGAACAAGCATGGCGCATCTAACTCGTTCATTTTTGCCTAGTCTTTTTCGGTTACCAGGCACCGGATTTAACTAGCTATCACGAAGGGGGCGAAGAGAACCTGGGCATCCTCCGAAACAGTGATAATAATTGATCGCTTCCGACTAGGATCCGCACTCGGGGAGGGGAACCGGTTGACCAATCTCGGGCTCGAGTTAGGCCCCCTGCCTCCGAGGATGAACTTTTCCTCGGTACCTCTAAGTCACCCAGCCCAGTGAACTCTTCCGGGGTGGTGGAGTCCACGCCGTTAAAAAGGCAACAGAGAGGATCGTCCGCTTTGTGAGCCCCTTCATTAGGTCGTTCTTTCACCGTTCGGGCCTCGTTGTACATGTACTCGGTAATTGAGGGCGACTCGGTAATATCTATCACGTCGAGTGCCTCCTTCGGGCACCGGCATCCCGGGAAGTCTCAGCTCCGGCCTCCTCATCAACCTCCCTAGCCTGAGGAAGATCGGCTTCATGAGTCTTTTGTTCAACGGCCCCCTGCTCTTCGGGGAGCGACGGCTCGCGGGCCACAAAAAGCTCTTCCTCTTCAGATTCGTCTCTAAGCCAGTAGAGCAAGTCCGAATCTGGTGCTCGGGAGCTGGAGTTCTCCTTTGGCATACGAGCCAACATTCTCCTTGGTTTCTTCCTTTCTGAGATCAGGGAACTCGGGGCCCTTCTCCTTTTCTTCTCTCCGACCTACCCTGGGACAGGAGACTCAACAGGCAAGTCCTCGTCCCTGACTGGGGGTCTAAGCTTGACGATTTTAGGCAAACCTGCAAAAAGGAAGAAAAAGAAATAAGAACGTGATGCTAAAAGAAGAAGCCTAACACAACCTACTCGGGAAAGAAATCTTACCATGGGAATGGGCCTCCCAAAGGCCCTTCGAGAGTTTGCGCCACGAGCGCTCGGAATAAGGCATCTGTGAGATAATACCTTTGACCTACTCCTTGAGTCGAGGAATAGCATTTGGTACTCGAGCGACAGCTACACCACCACGAATACCAATGAGAAAAAGAGAGATGAACATGAAATCAACATTCGAGGAAAATTTTTACTTACGTGATGCATTCCACTTCTGGGGAAATGGTCTGAATTCGGCCGGAATCAAGTCCGAGGTCCTCACCGGACAAAATGACCCTGCCAGCTTCGATCCCGGTCCTCGTCGATGCTCAAAATATGACTTTGTTGGCCCGACGTACAAGCTTTATCAGTCCCCTCAGAAGATTCGGGTACTGTATAAGCGGAGCAGACGGTCGATGGTGAAGGTGCACGAATCGATTTTATTCACAAAAAATCAGAGGAGGATCACGATCCTCCATAGTGAAGGGTGAATTTGGCCTAGGCATACGTTATACCTCCTGCAGAAGTCTAAGATGAATGAGTCCACCGGGCCCAATGTAAAGAGATAAGTGTAAACACTCAGATATCCCTCGACATAGGTGGTAATGGTCTCTTCGGAGTCAGGGACCACGGTGTCCTTGTCGACCCAGTTGCAGTCTTTCGGACCGTGGAGAGGTCCTCTTCGGTGATTGAGCAAACGTATCTCAAGGCATCCTCACGCCAACCCTATACCCAAAGAAGGCTTCTCAACCTTAAAGTCGTCGGCGACCGAACAACCCTCGGGAATGAACATCTTCAAGGGAAGTTCTTCTGTGACCACATTAACAGCGGACCCCTCAAGGTCGACCACATCAGGAATGGTTTCGTTGATTTCGGCAGTCGGTTGGGAGGTAGAAGCGACCTTTTAGGGAACAAATTTTGAGGTTTTTGCCATTGTTATAGGGGAAAGCTCGAAGGAGATAGAGAAAGGTTGAAAGCTAGAAGCTCATATGTGTTGGCTTGAGTGGATGATGAGTAAAACTTTTGCAAAGGAATCTCGAGTAACGGAGGTAAAAATGCTAGAATATGAAAAAGAGTAATGAAATTCTGAGGGTACGGGGGTAGAAGGTTTGATGTAAAGTAAACAATGAACAAAGGAGGGGTTATTTATTGGGGTTCCACAATGTTTCACATCCAGGGACAGCCAACCGACAAGTGACGTGCATTTAAGGCTATTATGACATGACTGACGAGACATTTCGGGCTTTTGGTCGTTTCTATCACGGTGTATTGAAGAAGGAATCGGGGTGCTCATATCGTTTCTTATCAGCTTGCTCTCCGAGAAACGAGGGGACTATCTGTATACGGGTAAAAACCGAGCTCATGATACATTCTGGCCCCCAATATGATAAAACGAGATCGAGATATGATTGCAAAGGATCATAATCGAAGCAACGGTCTCATCGAGTCAGAATCCAGGGGCACGATGAATGCCCTCGAGAATATCGGGGTTATGATTCGAGATCGATCCAAATCCTGAAAGACTTCGGAGAACATTATCGGGCGATCAAGCACGACCAACAGAAGGCCGTAATATCCGCAACCGGCCGGATATCACGGCATGGATCTCGGCACGTATCGATGAAGAACCGGCAATCAGTTAAACAAAAGATTTTTTACCTTTTATGAAATTGTACTTAGAGTAGGATTCCTCAACTATATAAAGGGGGTCTGATAATTCATTAGATACATGCTAACATGCATTCCAAAGCAATATACTACTATTTTCATTCTTATTGTAAGCTTTTTCTCTCGTTTATTAATATTGTCCACTGTGAGCCCGGATCGAGGGTGAATGTTTAACTTAAGCTGGAATCATCCTCCTCGCGTGGTTTGAATTTACTGTTATCTTTACTTGTCCATTCTAACTCAATTTATCGTTTTGTATCAAATTAGTCTGCATATCTTTAAAATCACTTACAAATTTAATTGTTATCTGATTTTGAGGGTAAAAAGACGGAAAGAAGGTGAATCTTCTTGAACATATAAGTGATGGACCAAGTTTTAACTTGGATATGAAAAACAGGAAAAAGTGTACTTAAATTATTGTTTTCTCAGAAAGCTTAATGGGTTATGTATGTCTGTGGTCAATGAATTTAACTTGTCAAATTTTTGAATCCATAGCAGTAAATTAGACAGACAAATAAGAAAGTACAGGATAAACATCTGGGAATCTTTTCTTTATTTATTTTTTCTTTTGTTTTACTACATGAGCCACAACAAATAAAAAAAACTAGCAAAACATTCCAATATGATATGACAAAATTAGATGCAAAAGAAAATTAACAAGGGATGTAACGATTGTGTTTGGATTTTTTAATTAATTGTTTATTGGGCAACAGCTTTTGGGGTCTCTTCTACCTCCTCCTCTGCTGGCTGTTCTTTGGGCTCCTCTTTCACAGCCTCAACTTTGACTTCCTCAGCTGGTTTGGCTGTCTCCTCCTCCTTTGCCTTCACCTCCTCGGCGGTGTTTTTCTCAGTGGTTACTTCCTCAATCTTGGGAGCCTCTGATGCTGGTTCAGAGATGTCTACCAAAGGCTCCTCCTTCTTAGTCTCCTCCCCATCCTTTTTCTCCTGAGATTATTTATAGCAAAAGGAAATTAAAATAATTTTATTGCAGTAAGCCTCAATCCTAATTAAATTTAAATTAGTTGGGCTAAATATATGAATTTGAACCCTATGTTGAATAATGGTTCCAAACAAAAAGTGATAAAAGATACGTATTGTTTTCTATATTATGTCACTTCTCCTTGTGTTAAAAGTAGCGTCAAATTTCATTTTAATCCAACAAATTTTTATTTTCCAAATAAGCGGTACTCTTTCTTTAGAGTCCGGTAGGTCAATTAACTATTTCTATATCCATTCTGTTGTATTCGTGTCAATTTCATTTCAATGCAATTAAGAACAAAATAATGCAACTAAACATGTTCGCATTGGATATTCCATTTTTGGGGGGTAAAATGAACGATCAAATGATGATTATATATACACTATACCTGAGGAGCAGGAGTTTCCTGCTCGGATTTCTTTGGGGTGACTGCAGGTTCCTCGGCAGGGGCAGGGGCCAAGTCTTTGTCCAAATCCTTAGGTCTGCTCGCACAGGCTCCCATGACTAGTGTCTGAGCTTTGCGAGCTAGGAGGCGTTTGAGAAAAAATTAGGAATCAAAGGAGAGGGCTGTTTAATTACTTATGTTTGAAGCTTGAAATTGAGAATGAAGTAAAGCAGGTTTTTATAGAAAGGCTGAAGGGATGGCCTAATTTGTTGCTGTATCGTAGAAACATGCGCACCTGTTGTATGGACAATCTGTAAACAATTGACCTAAAACTATTATTGCGGAGAATCAGAAAGTGGGAGGCCTCGACGTTGTAGTTCGTTACAAACATGCGTTGAATATTCATTGTCATGGCGGAGAACCTGAGATATGGCAACTGGCACACATCCTAATTCCTAGTCATAACTTCTTTCTTGTTCCACTTCATATTATATGACAAATACGATGTCCATAGCTTTTTTCGACAAAAAACTAATAGCCACTTCAATTCGTGTCTGTGCATGGACGGTTCTCTAAATATTAGTAGTAGCTAAGACTAGACAATTCTCATTTCTCAGTTTCTATTGGATGTCACAAGCTGATGCAGTCACTCAAAAATACAATCAGTCATTCGCGCTATTAACATACAATAAATGTAATATTTGGGAAATGTAATACTCACTTCTTACTAGTAGTCTTCCTGCAAAAGACGGTCAAATAAGACTATATTCGTGTCACTTACAAGTTATAAGTCGTCAAAGGTTGAAGATTTCAAACCATATTACAAACTTAAAGTATATTCTAAGAGCATGTAGCGTAAAAGATGAAAAGAAAACAAAATAGAACATTTCCGACTATCAAATTGCATTTAGGAATTTGATGAAATATCGCAACGCCTTGTAGGTATTAGGACTAATTAATTAAGCAAATTGGACCTCTTGCGTCTTGCAAATTACTCCCTCCGATTCAAAATAAGTGATTTTTTGGCTTTTTTTTTGTGGTCCAAAATAAGTAATTTTTCCAGATTTCAAGAATGAATTAATTATTTTTTTCCTACACTGCCCTTGGAGTAAATAGTGTTAGAGTATGTGTTAGGAGTGTTTAAGTGAAGAAATAGTAAATGTTAATATAGTCAATTTCATTGCTAATTAATGTTAAAAGGAGAATTTCTTAATCTGTGTGAAAATAACCAAAAAAACACTTATTGTGAACCGAAGGAAGTAACTGATTAAGATTTTTTCGATTGAGTTCATTTGTATTCCCTTTCTTTAATTAAATATTTATATTAATGTTAATCTAAAGATTGAGTAGACTGTCCAAATGAATTATATGTGTCACATGCCGACTTACTCACGTATGTCAGCGGCACCAAATAGCCCGTGCGGCGCCTGCAGTTCCCCTCGCTACAGGCCAGCCTTTTCTTTTCCCAGATTTTCCAAGCACGATCTTGTGCCTGTGGGGAAGCTTGTCTAGAAGGCCTGCTCCAACTGTGCCGCCCTATGATGTCTAGGCTCATGGCCTCGACTAATTGTGGCGCTTCTCGTCTTAGGATCATAATCCATGCGCGCCCTGGGGTTGGCTAAGGACATGTCTTGTCCCTGACACTGAGCATCGCTTTCGCATGCACAGTCTAATCCTCAAGCTTGACACTCGCCTCGTGCATCCGCACCCAGCTTGTGCTCCACCCGAGTAAGGCAACCTTTAGTCCTTGGCCATTGTCATGTGCGTCTTTCGTGGCATGCCTATACATAGCCCTCGCGACACACTTTCATCCCGTATAGTGCAGTGTCGCCCCACAATTGCACGTCTAGGCCAACGGACCATTGCTCGCATGGCTGAACCCAAGCCATGCTCATAAGTCGACACATGAGGCCTCTAAGATAGGTGTTTCAAGTATCCAATCGGCACAGAGGTCTTCTTCCAATATTTCGGCAGCCCGCGGGGCATACCCGTCCCACACGTCGAGCCTCCAGCGCCTGTTTGGTGCCCAACGCTAGCCCGAAGGTGTCGCACCGTCCATAGAGTTCCCAAACTCGTATGGATATCCTTTGAGTCGTCCAGGAAGGCCCTTGAGGTTCCCCCTCAAGGTCGCTCATTCTGTACGGCTTGGTGACAGCACGCACGGGAGAGGCAGGTTGAACTTCAATACCTCTACCCCCTTATATATGCTTAAAATTTAAAAACCCAAGGTTCCTGAGTAGACTTGTCTACGCCAGAGAATCAGAAGGAACTTTTCTCACCGGTTCCAGCCCGAAATTACAACCCCAAAATGCGGGTTGTGACAGTATGTCTCAACTAACAACCAACACATAAAATTCTCCTCCAAGAGATCTCTTGAATAAGAGAAATTAAAAATAAAAAAATAAAAAAGCTAAATATTATAACTTTTTTTACCCCTTAAAAATAGAGTTCACACTGGAGAAAATAATTATTTTATTATTTTTCTAATATTTAGGAATATTCATTTATGTAGAAAGCCTAATATTTAGGAATTTAATCTTTTCCTTATATAAATTTTAGTTTTATAAGTCCTTCTTTATTTCAACTAGGTAGGAAATATTAATACTTACTATAAGTTTAAATCAATTAAACCAGGTTCCTTCAACAATAGCGTTTACTTCTTGAAAGCTTCAGTACTTTTTTTTTCCGAGAAAAACTTCGTTTCTCATCGCTAATATTTAGTACTTATTTAGGAACACAATTTGCCTTCTTCTTGAGGAATGAATAGACTGTGCCTCCCAATGATTAGCTAAAGGAGCGAGAGACATATGGGTTTAAAATATACCTGTTTAACGGGTCGGATTGACCCGGTTTCGGACCGGCCCGGACTGGTAGTAGGGGCCGGGTAGGGCTGGGTTGGGGGAGGAGGTAAGGGGTTAAGACGTTTATATTTTTCTTACCGGTTAACCGGACCGGTCAAACCCGGTCAAGGAAAATCACTATTGAATTGGTTAACCGGACCGGCCCGGACCGGTTCAAGGACTATTTTCTGAATTTATTTTTTAGTACATATAGCTAAAATTTCTTTTCGACTCTTTGAATTTAAGAAGAAAGAAAAATATAAGGATGTTGTTGAAAAAATGCAAGCAAAATTCAAAAACTATTTCTTTCCAATTCCCCTGATTTACTTAATTGGTGCTGTTTTAAATCCTTCTATAAAGATGTCTAATTGTCACCAATTAATCAATGTTTTATATACTTATATGGAGATTGGACCAACTGAAACCTCAGATATATATTATTGTATGAACAAACTAAATGATTATTTACAATAATTATATAATTATTATGCAAATTTAATTGATGATGCTGCCATTAATATTGGCAATGTTAATCCCACTATGCATTGTACTACTTCTACTGCATCTGCTACTATGGATGAAGATGAAGGCCTTGATGGTTATAATATTTGGGCTACATTTTCTTCCACTCTAACCAGTAGCAGGAACATTGATGAACTTCAATTTTACTTGCAAAAGCAATTAGAGCCTCGCACAAAGAAATTTTCTCCGTTGGGATGGTGGCATGAGAATGAAAAGTAATTTTCTGTTCTTTCCGCTATGGCTCGAGATGTGCTCAATGTGCCAATTTCAACTGTTGTATCAGAGAGTGCATTTAGTCAAGCAAGACAACAACTAGGAGACACCCAACACCAATTGGGAAGCAATGCTTTGGAAGTTTTACTATGTTTCAGAGATTGGATTAGATCGGAACGAAAAAATAGAGACGTTAAGATGTTGATAAACCAGAAGACAAGGAACTTGGAGATATATTAACACATGGTCACCCATCTGAATTTAACACTCCAGAAGATGGCCAAGAAGTTCATATTGATTATGAAGAACTAACTAAGGCAATGCAAAACCTTTGAAGTTCTGGATTTATATTTAATAATTAAACTTTGAATTTACTCTTTTTTCGTTAATTTAGTTGTTATTAAATGTAAACTTTAATTTGCAAGTTTGATATAAAAAAAGAACTTGCAAATTATAATTTTTTTTTCCATCTTCATTGTATTCTATTATCTTAAATTCTTAATGAAATATTCAAATATAAGGATTTTAAAGCCTTTGCATCCTTTATTCAAACACTCTTTTTATAAGATTATTTTTTTATTTTATATTTTTACTTTATCTTAATATAAATTACGATAATTATACAAAATATAAAATAAAAAAAAAATACAAAAACTCGGCTCGGCACGGCCCCTTTGGCCTGTAACCGTTCCGGTTCATTAAATCACTGGATGGGCCCCGACCTGGTAAAACCGGTAGGGAAAAATGGTATCGGCCTGGATTGTTGACCGGCCGGTCACATTTTTCTTCAACTCGGACCGGACCAGACCGCCCCCTGTCGCCTTTAGTTTAAAATCAAATTTTTTGCATGAAACAAAGGAGGCATCAAATATAAAACATGAACATCACAAGTTCAAACGAAAAACGTCACCTTTGATGATTCTTCGAGGAAGATTATTGTTGGCCATTTAATTAAATTGGAGGTTCTTTTACTCTTCATCCATCTAATCTATTTTGGCCTGTTTTGCATCTTTGAGAGAAAATACATAAAAGCATAATAGGTTAGGTAAGTTTTTACTTTGTTACGTTCTGTTTACCTTTTATATTAATTATTCTTATACGTACTTTAGATACAATTGTAAATATTTTGCGTAATAATTTGTAATTATAATTCTCCACTGATAGTAGTTGGGTTGAATGGTGTGATTTTGTGTTCAATATTTTTGGATGTAAAAAGTTTACTTGTGACAGTTCAGTAAGCTTATTCCTAATTAGTTTCAATGTACAAGAAGATTTCTTCCAGTTGCTTAATTGAAGTCAAATTCCCTCGACATCATTTGTGCGTTCGGTATATGTTAAAAGCTATTTCTTGTAGTGTCGAATATTGATTTGTACCGTTATACCATTAGTTATTTTGTTCGGTATGCGTTCATTATATTTTGTTGTATAAAAATATAAATGTTGCATTCAAATAAATGTTATAATTAATAGTGTATACGGGTAAAACCAAGTCCAATGAGCACCCCGATTTTCCGGTGAGGCAAACGAAGCAGGGACGTGACTGTAAGGAATCGGAATCAAAACCAGGAGCCTCTCGTACAAGGGCCCGAGCAAAACACCCACCCTCGGAGCCTTTGGGGCCACGTCCCCCAGGTCCGGT